AAAGAGGGAAAATCACTTGAGGCCAGGAGTTTGAGACCAGCCTGAGCAACGTTGCAAGACCCGACCCTACAAAAATAAAAAAATTAGTCGGGCATGATGGTGCATGCCTGTAGTCTTAGGATACTTGGGAGGCTGAGGTGGGAGGAACACTTGAGCCCAGGGGTTTGAGGCTGCAGTGAGCTATAATGACACCACTGTACTCGAGCCCAGGAAACAAAGCAAGACCCTATGTCTAAAAAATAAAAATAAAAAAAATTTAAAATAACCATTTTTAGAATGAGAGAATAAATTCAGAAAAGTATAGTGCCAGGTGCAGTGGTACACACCTGTGATCCCAGCACTCTGAGAGACTGAGTCGGGAGGATCCCTTGAGCCCAGGATTTCAAGACCAGCCTGAACAACACAGTGAGACCGCCATCTCTACAAAAAATAGAAAAATCAGCTGGGTGTGGTTGGCCCACATGCCTGTAGTCCTAGCTACTCAGGAGGATGAGGCAGGAGGATCCCTTGAACCCAGGAATCTGAGGTTGCTGTGAACTATGATGACACCACTGCACTCTAGCCTGGGTGACAGAGCAAGACCCTATGTCAAAAAAACAAAACAAAACAAAAAAAAAACAAAACAAGAAAACAAATGGTCCAATCCTCTCACCTAGCTAGAACTCCAAGCAACACACACAGTTAGAAAATTCAAACAGTATACAAAAGTATAAAAGTAAAATAAAATGTTCTCTTATTCCCAGAAGTCATCATTTTCATAGTTTCTTGTGTATCTTTATAGAAAAAAAAAGTCTTCATCTCTCCAGCATATATATGGGTATCCTTCAAAAAAAAAATTTTTTTTTTCCAGATAGTGTCTTGCTCTGTTGCCAGGGCTGCAGTGCCAGGGTGTCAGCCTAGCTCACAGCAACCTCAACTCCTGGACTCAAGCAATCCTACTGCCTCAGCCTCCCTCATAGCTGGGACTACAGGCACTCGCCACCATGCCTAGCTAATTTTTTGTTTCTGTTTTTAGTTGCCCAGCTAATTTTTTTCTATTTTTAGTAGAGACAGGGTCTCGCTCTCTTGCTCAGGCTGGTCTTGAACTCCTGAGCTCAAGCGATCCTCCTTCCTCGACCTTCCAGAGTGCTAGGATTACAGGCATGAGCCACTGCACCCAGCCTCCCAATTTTTTATTATTTATTAATATTCTTTGCAGAATAAAAGGGAAGTAAAAGGTTGGCTTCCTCCCTGCCCCCCCCCCATTTTTTAAATTGAGACAGTCTTGCTCTGTTGTCTAGGCTATAGTGCAATCGTCATAGCTCAACCTCCAACTCCTGGGCTCAGTCATTCCTCCTGCCTCAGCCTCCAGAGTAGTTGGCACTACAGGCATGTACCACCATACCTGGCTTTAAAATGTTTTTTTACAAAAAGAGAATCATTCTGTAATTATTTTTTTCTTCATCTTTTGTTTTTAAACTTAAAGTATGATGGATATTTTCTGAATTCTGCACAAACAGATCTACTGCATTCTTTTTGATAGATATCTGCATGATATATTCCTTGCAATGGATCTACCATAATTTATTTAACCAGTTCCTATTAATGGACACTTAAATTGCTTTCTGTTTTTTGTTTTTATGAAGGGGGCTTTCAAGGAACAGCTTTGTATAAGTGTGCCTGGAACATATCTGAATTAAAACATTTACTTTTGGGGGCTGGCATGGTGGCTCATGCCTGTAATCTTAGCACTTTAGGAGGCTGAGGTGGGAGGATTGCTTGAGCTCATGAGTTTAAGACCAGCCTGAGCAAGAGTGAGACCTCTTCTCCACAAAAAAAAAAAAGAAAAAAAGAAAGAAAAATTAGCTGGACATGGTGGCATGGCCTGCACAGCTACTCAGGAGGCTGAGGCAGGAGGATCACTTGAGCCCAAGAGCTTGAGGTTGCAGTGAGCTATGATGATGCCACTGTACTCTAGCCAGGGCAACAGAGCCAGACTCTGTCTCAAAAAAAAAAAAAAAAAATTTGTTTTTTCTTTTTTTACTTTTTGGAACACATTTGAGGGGTATACTTCTGCAACAGGATCACTAGGTCAGGGCATAGGATCATTTCATTATATGTATATTGTGAAATTACCCTCTAGAAAGATTGCCCCAGTGAATCCTCTCAAAAGCCATATGGAGCCTGTCTGCTTCCTTGTACTTTCACCAGTACTGGCATCCTAATCAAACTTTTGTGTTTGGGGATCTGATAAGTGAAAAGTGATATCTACTTGTCTTACAGATTTGCATTTGTCTAGTGTAGAATGACCTTGAGGATTTCTTCATACGTTTGCTGGTGAGAATAGTTAAGATTTTAATATGCACAGATAGATAGTCATAGGTGGGTGAGCATTCCGGGGAGAGGCCCCTATGCAGGTGGATTGGGTAAGTGTTTAGGGGAGATTTATTCAGCAAATGCTTATTGTACACTTAACAATATTTAAGGTGCTGTGAGGATACAAAGCCATACAAAGAAGCAGCTTCTCTGCTAAGACATGTCTGTGTTCCTTATCAGGGTTGGAAACTCTAGGTGCCCTCGGGCAAGGTTTCAAAAGGGAGCCTCAGATGTTGAGAATCTGGGTAGATCCCTTTCTTTTTCTTTTCATTTTTTTCTTTTTCTTTCTTTTTTTTTTTTCTTTGAGTCAGGGTCTCACTGTGTTGTCCAGGCTGACCTTGAACTCCTGGACTCAAGTTATCCTCAGCCTCCTGAGTAGCTGGGATTATTTTTGGGAGTCTCCTGGTATCTTGGGCAGAGATTCGAAGGATAAGGAGGGTTTGGAAAGGTGGAGCGATAGGGATGGGGGGGGCAGTAACAGCCAACAGATCAGATTAGCTTGAGGACTCTCTTAGTGGGGGGAGGGGAGAGACTGGACAAGGAAGTTAGCTTGGGTCTAAATGCTGGGCTGGCTGAGGCCTGGAAATGGAAAAGCAGCTGGAGGTCTTTTCAGCTGCTGTGTTTTTAGAAGGCCTTGGATGACATAGGAAATACAGTTGGCCAGAGATCTGACAGTTCCACAGATTTGCAGGAAAAAAAAAAATTAAGAACTAAAGGAAAACTCAGAAACCTTTTGGGGACACATTCTTAAGCCAGTCCTGACTATTCCTGTTTTTACTATATAGAATCAGCAGTTATACAAGGCTAATACCCAATATCTTACTGTAGAGAGATAACTCCTGGACCAACATTCGTTAGAATGTTTCCAGAGAATATTTAGGAAGTTTTGAGAAAGCTACACTTCTATGCCATTGGCTGGTGGGAGTGTAAATCTGTGCAACTTCTTTGCAAGCCCTTTGGCAACATTATCTCAGAATTTAAAATGCATATATCCTTTGACCTAGGATACATTTTACAAATTTATCTTACTGACATGCTTGTGTATATCACAAAGAAACATGTGGGAGGATATTCCTTGCAACAATATTTCTAATAACAAACACACACACACTAATGTTCATCACTAGGGAGCTAAATGATGCTGTCTATACAGTCGACTTGTAGTCATTAAAAGAGCCAGGTAGATTTATATCTGCCGACACCACTAATCTCTAAAATGTAATTGAGTGGAAAAAGTCAAGGTGCAGGGAATAGGTTCAGTATGATCTCATTTGCATTTTAAAAAATTAAATGAAAATGAAATGACCATAAGGGCACAGAAGGTGTTAGCAGTAACTACCTACCTGTGGGGAGTGGGACCTAGGAGGCAGGTGGGGGGAGAGAGACATTTTATTTGATATTCTTTTGTACTGGTTGGATATTTTTAGCACATTGACTGCCACACTAGAAAAAAATTTTTTCCCTGGGGCCGTGATGTTTTATTAAAACAAAATGATTCTTTCTAATTTGTTATTTTTTATTATTTTTTGTGTGTGAGTTATATGCAATGCAAACCATGTTTTTAGAATTAAATTGTCAATATTAATTGTAACAATGAGAACATCAACACGTAAGATTTTCATGAACCAACTGCAGGGTTTTGTTTCATGTGCCCCAGGCTCAAAATTAGCCTGAGTTAAATACAACTCACATGGCGATGTCAGTAAATGTGTTAAAACCTTGTACGTATTACCTTTTTTTTTTTTTTCTTTTTTTGAGACAGAGTCTCGATCTGTTGCCTGGGCTGGAGTGCAGTGGTTCCTCACAGCTAACTGCAACCTCAAAGCAATCCCCCTGCCTTGGCCTCCCATGTTACTGTGACTATAGGCACGTGCCACCACACCTGGCTAATTTTTCTATTTTTTGTAGAGACGTTGTATCGCTCTTGCTCAGGCTGGCGTCAAACTCCTGGCCTTAAGCAATCCTCCTGCCTTGGCCTCTCAGAATGCTAGGATTATAGGCGTGAGCCACCTCACCCAGCCTACTTTAATATTTTCAAAAACTAGTTTTATATTTTAAAATAGAATACATTTTAGAATAAAATAATAAAGAGCCCTGGCAGATGTGTATGCAGAGTTTAAGGTGTCATAGCAGAAGGGTTAGGTCCATTTAACATAGCCTGTAATCTTTTTTTTTTTTTAATGTTGTATTGTTCATAGAAAATAAGGACTGCTAAGGGGGAAAAAGTTGTATTGCTCCTGGAAGGTGGATCAAAGGGTATAGAGACTCTAATCATGGCTATGGTAATTGCTACCATTTGTTTAGCTTCTGGCCTGGTACTGTGCTAGAGACTTCACATATGCTACCTTTAGTATTGTTCTGGAAGCTATGTGTTATTGCCTTTGTTTTCTCTGTGAGAACTGAGACATAGGGGCTAAGTGATTTGCACAAGTTCACATTAGTGGTCAATGGGAGAACATTGATTCATCTGGGTCTTTTAAACTCTGGTGTCTTGATTTTTCCCACTATGCCGTACACGCTGCCTATTGGGAGGGAACATGAGTCTGCTTGAGCTGCCATAACCAAATACCAACGACTTGGTGGGTTCAACAGCAGACTTTTATTTCTCACAGTTCTGGAGGATAGAAGTCCAAGACCAAATGCCAGACAATTCAGTTGCTGGTAGGGACTCTCTTTCTGGCTTGTAGATGGCCACCTTCTCACTGTGTCTCACATGGTGGAAAGAAAGAACTCTGGTGTCTCTTCGTCTTATAAGGGCACCAGCCCCGTGGGGTTAGGGCCCCACTCTTATGACCTCATTTAACCTTTTTCCCCTTAACAGGCCCTGTCTCCAAATACTGTCACTTTGGGAGTTAGGGCTTCAACGTATAAACTCAGGGATAGCACAAACATTCAGTCCCCAACCACACAGTACCAATAAAGAGAAAGGAAGATTAACATGCACAAAATAATAAGAAACTGTTATAAGATAGTGTATAAATGAAATGGTAAAATTAAATATTTTTTTTTTCCAGGCACAGTGGCTCACGCCTGTAAGCCTAGCACTCTGGGAGGCTGAAGCAGGAGGATCACTTGAGCTCAGGAGTTTGAGACCAGCCTGAGCCAAGAGGGAGACCTTGTTTCTACTAAAAATAGAAAAAATTAGCTGGGTGTGGTGGTCTGTGCCTATAGTCACAGCTACTTGGGAGGCTGAGGCCGGAGAATCCCTTGAACCCAGGAGTTTGAGGTTGCAGTGAGCTGTGATGACACTACTACACTCCATCTGGAGTGACAGAGCTAGACACTGTCTCAAAAAACAATTTTTTTTTTACTATTTTTTTATGCAAGTAGCAAGATGTTTATGGGGGGCCTGGGAGCAGGGGGGACCAGAACACATGGATAGGCAAAACAGAAGAAAATAAAAATCATCCACAGTCTCGCCACATAGAAGTAACTTCTCTTACTGTTGTGGTGATTTCCTCTTTCAGACCTTTTCCCTTTCTGCACGCATTTGTGTGTGTGTGTGTGTGTGTGTGTGTGTGTGTGTATTCGGATCCTAGAGACGTATATGTGCACCTGCTGGCTTATGCTCACAGTCTCACAGTATATATCTCCCAAGTATCCCAATAAAATATTTGTGTTTTTCAGACAATATAGTAACACGGATTTATTGACACTGGTGGTGGGTATTGTGACTATTTGCAACTTTAAGATGGTCAAAACAGGTGCCAACACCTGTCAGTCGTTATTCTCTCTCAAGGGTCTATAGTTGGATGGGATGTGGCACACTGACCCAGGAGTAGAAATTTTTTTTACTGATATTCTGTGTTATTTTCTTGACAGCAGTTCTCAGCCCTGACAGAAGTGCTTTTCCACTTCCTAACTGAGCCAAAAGAGGTAAAGCATTTTGTGATAAGGAGAGTTCTTGAGCATGGGTCTATGGTCCTGAGATGCTCAGACAGTGAAGGCCTGGCTTGTGCTGTTCCCTCTCTGCAGGTAGAAAGGTTTCTGGCTCAGCTCTCTGAATTTGCCACCACCAATCAGATCAGTCTCGGCCCCCTCAGAAGCATTGTGAAAAGCCTCCTCCTGGTTCCAAATGGTGAGTAACCTCTCCTAGCAGCTATGGTCAGAGACATTAACTTCAATGTGAATCATCAAAGCATACTCAAGGCACTGAGTGAGAGTGTTTTTTCAGTAATGAGCCAGACATGGGTGGGGCTCACTGTCTGAGGAGGGAACCCAGGAAAAGGCAGCAGAGTGTAATAGAGGTGTTCTATGGAGCAGCAAAGTTCAGTCTGCATCCTGGGTTCAGTCCCCAAACTGTCCTCTTGTCCTTCCTACAATGAGTACAGAAATTGTGAGTAAGCATTCAGAAACTTTTATAGTAATTTGACAGTGCCTCTTGAATCTAATAATTTTTTTAAATGGGGCCTTTTTTATTATGGTAAAATATGCATAGTATAAAATTTACCATTTTAACCATTTGTGGCTTATGTTTTGTACATCTTTTCTCATTTCATGTTTCTAGGAATTTTTTTTTTTTTTTTTTTGAGACAGAGTCTCACTCTTTTGCCTGGGCTAGAGTGCCGTGGCGTCAGCCTAGCTCACAGTAACCTCAAACTCCTGGGCTCAAGCAATCTTTCTGCCTCAGCCTCCCGAGTAGTTGGGACTACAGGCATGCACCACCATGCCCGACTAATTTTTTTCTATATAGTTTTAGTTGTCTGATTAATTTCTTTCTATTTTTAGTAGAGATGGGGTCTCGCTCTTGCTCAGGCTGGTCTTGAACTCCTGAGCTCAAGCAATCCACCTGCCTTGGCCTCCCAGACTGCTAGGATTACAGGCGTGAACCACCGCGCCTGGCCTGTTTCTAGAAATTTTTTTGTTGTTGTTTTTGAGACAAAGTCTTGCTCTCTTGCCCAGGCTAGAGTACGGTGGCGTCATAATAACTCACAGCAACCTCGAACTCCTGGGCTCAAGCAATCCTACTGCCTCAGCCTCCCAAGTAGCTGGGACCACAGCCATACCTGGCTAATTTTTTTATTTTTTTAGAGACAGGGTCTTGCTACATTGCCCAGGAACTCCTGGGTTCAAATGATCCTCCTCCTGCTTTGGCCTCCCAAAGTGCTGAGATTAGAGCCACTGTGCCTGACCTGAATGTATTAATATCTTCTTTTAGTTAATCTATTTCCTGTTGCTGAGCATTTTAATTGTTCTCATTTTTCACCCTTGTGAACAATGCTGCAGTGAACATTCTCATGACCTCCTTGTGCTCACATGTGTGAGTATTTCTGTGGGATCAGTGCCCAAAGTGCAGAGCCACAAGTCTTTATTCTCATTCTCCAGCCTGCACCTCTGGGAATGGTTCGTCTGAGGGCTGAGGCCCATTTTGTATGTGTCTTTCTATCTAACAGACAGTTCTTCAAAGTCAGGGGCAGGTCTTGCTCTTCTTTCCTAAACCATGGGTACAAGCAAAGGAATGACATACAGCAGGTGCTCAGTACATGTTGAGTGACTTGAACTGAATTTGGGAGATGCCGTGACCCTCCCAGAGGATGTCGAGTTAATATTTTTTGAGCAGGATTGATTATCAGTGTTTATATTAATAGCAGATCATTTTCTATAGACACAGAACATTGGGGAACTCATGGCATACCAGTCAAGAGATGGGCTTTGCAGGCTCACTCGGATTGGAGTCTTATTACTTAATGTAGCTGTTTGGCTGTGGACAGATCAGCCTTTTGGAGCCTCAGTTTTCTTATCTGAAAAATAGAGTAGTAAGAGCTGCTTACGGTGGTGGTGTTAGGAATAAATGAGTTAATATATGTAAAGTACTTAATATGGTGCCAGTCAAACTGTAGCCTTTAATTATTGATAGATCAACTAGCTTTCAGTCCTATGCCTCAATGTCAAATTAGGAGATAAAACTTTTCTTCACCTAATGGGGAGGATCTTAATGCATCTCTGGATTAGTTAACATCCCAGAGATTTTCAGGCCTAGAATTAAGCTCTGTCATTTGCTGTACTTTTCTGTTTGCTCTCAACAATTTCTGTTGGTTTTACTCTTCTTTTTGTTCTCATGGCTGTCTGACTGTGCTTTTCCTGCAGGGCTTTCCTGCTTAAATTCCCCTTTCTTCTAGAGTGTCTCCTAAGCATCTGAGATTGCAGCTTGGAAGTCTCTTGGCCCCTTCTTACCCCTTGGCCTCCTGTGTCTTGCTTTCCAGTCCCAAAGGCTGCTGTCCCGGAACAGTTTCTTAGCCCCTCATGCCTGGTTATGGCAGTAATGTCTCCACCCCTGTTCTCCCATCTAGACTCCAGGTTGCCCTGGAGCACTCACTATAGCACATCTGGGCTCTTGTTGCTCCTCTCACCTGTTTACTGTGCGTAATGAAGTCTATAGGCCTTGGTTTGGCATTCTAGGCCTTTTCCAATCTAATCTGCAATATAATAGCCTTTGGGCCCTCATCCCCTTCCTCTTCTCTTACCCTGGTCCTGCTTGTGCAGCAAGACCTCATTGTAGAAGTACAGCTTGTTAGAGCTGAAGGGGCCTCAAGAACCCACTAGATCAGTCTTCCCCAAATTGGTACATCCATCAATTAAAAGTGGTCAGACAGAGTCAGAAAATACTGTCCCCACATCCCCATCCTTAGAAACTTGTAGATTCACATACACATTGACATATCTCAGGCTCTGAAAAGTCCTGCAGTAAAGAAACCTGCTTAACCAGTGTCTGTGAAACATAGTTAGCCATGGAACCCCTCCTTTTTTTCTTTTTTTGTTTTTGGCAGGGGGAGGGGCAAGTAAAAGCTTTGTGAAGTGCTGATCTTTTTTGTCTTTTTTTAAAAAAGTTTTTCTTTTACTTTTTAGTATGTAATTCTTAAAACCAATTCAACAATTATCAACCCATGGCCAAATCATTTCATCTGTACCCCACCCATGTCTCCTCATTGGATTATTTTAGAGCACATTTCAGACATACCGTTTCATTCCTAAATACCTAGTTCTCTATCTCTAAAAGATAAAGGATATTTCCCCTTATCAAACTATAATGCTGTTATCATATCTACAGGGAAAATATGCAATCAGTGTTCAGATTTCCCCATTGTCTCATGAATTTGGTTTGTTTGCAGTTGGTTGTTCCCATCAGGGTCTAGATAGGTCCAACATTCGGTTGCCTGATGATCGTCCTGTGCTTGCTTGCTTACTCATTGTGGCTGCTAAACAGCTCTGAGACCTAATAGTACCTGAGACCTAATAGTACCTCATCCTTTGTTATAAGAGTCGAGGAAGATAATAAATGTAAAGTGCTCGCTTCACTGTCAGTGGTGGCTGCTCTGCTGCTAGTGTTATGATTGGCATCATCATTATGTGATACCTACTAGACAAGATTACAGATAATTTGGCAGCAGGGCTACTGTTTAAGCCTGTTTTTATTTTAATACTTAACAAGATATCTGGTCCTTGTGGCTAATCAGTAACTGGGTCTTAGGGGTTTTTCGATGGAGTTTTTTTGTGTGCGTATTAATGAAAAGGTGATAACTCCCCTTTCCCACTTCCCAAGGAATTCTTTCTGGCTGGACAGAAAAGGAATAATCAGCATTGAATAGTAGTCACAAATGGTATTTAATCAGATGTTGAACTATGTCCCCCAAGGACTGCCAGCCATACCTGCCCTGTTGCTTTTCTCGTGGCATTTGTCACCTTATAGTACTCTGTGCGGCTTGCTTATGTGTTACATGGTTTCATAGTCTTTCTTCTCCCAGTAGGACATAAACCTCACAAGGGCAGAGCTTGTTGTCTGTTCAGTTCGTTGATGTTTCCCAGCACCTTGCACGGTGCTGGCATGTGGGGGGTGCTACATAAATAAGTGCATAGTGACTGACCTCTGTTCCTGTGAGCCTCACAGATGGACTCAGCCGGTCAGCCTTCAGGGTCTGCACTCACAGAATAGATGTGGCTCACCATCCTTGCCCCTCTGCTTCCTCCCCCAGGAGTCTTCACCAAGACCTGGTGCTGTTCCTTGGGCTTCCCTTCTTACACTGAATAAGCTCACATAGATTTTTGGCTAGAAGAACAATGTTTGCTGATTTTCCAACTGTCTTGGCAAACCCTCACCCTCACTTGTGTCTGTGTTTTGTCCCCCATACTCCCTGACAGCTGAGGCATCTGTTCTGGTGAGACGTGATGCCCAAGGACTTTTAAAACCACCCCAGATGGTTATCTGTGTTTAAAGAAGGACATTCTTAAATTTCCTCAAGTAACGTGTTGTAACTCCAGCCCTTAGAGTTTATACAGTTTTCTTTCTGTCTGATATAGTGTCAAAGGCTGCAGATCTGTCTTGTGGCTGGCATTTGCTTAGTTCAAGAAATCACCATAGAAAAAAGCTGGAAAAGAAGTTAAGAGCTTGAGGCCTAGCATGATGCAAATATGTTTTTTAAGGCTGGGTCTTGCCCACCCAGGGTAATTCAGGATGAAGAGCTTGCTCTTTGTCCCACTGCAGCTTGGTAGCCTTCACTGTCAGTAACTGTCAAGGCATTGCCTGGTCCTGCTTCACCAAGATAGCATATCATAGTGACCTGGAGTAGAAAGAAGTTGGGTTGGGGCCTCTCTGGCCTATAAGCAGCTTGGCTCTGCCACTTGCTGGCTGTTATAGCCCTGGTTAATTCATTTAACGTTTAATGTTTTTAAGTAACATTTTTTTTTTTAATTATAGAAAAGTGTAAGAAAAGAAACAAAAATAGCCCACAATTCTACCACCTTTGCATTAAAAAAAAAAAAAAAAAACTCTGTATATGCACATGGTTAGAAAATTTTAAAGTGGCAGAAAGAAAGAAAAGGGAAAGTCCCACTCAGTCCCTTTCCCGAAAGATACGCATTCTTAATTTCGTTGTGCATATGTTCAGAAAAAATGTGTTTTGAGCTGGGCGTGGTGGCTCACGCCCATAGTCCCAGCTGCTCAGGAGGCTGAGGTGGTAGGATTGTTCCCTGAGCCCATGAGTTCAAGGCTGCAGTGAGCTGTGATTATGCCACTGCACCCCAGCCCTGGGCAACAGAGCAACACCCTGTCTCTGAAAGAAAAAAGAAAAAATGTGTTTTGCAACTGCCAGCTCAGCTGTGAGATAAGGATATAATTAGAGACATAAATAAGGATATATTATAAACCTTTTTACTTACACAAAGGGAATCATATTGTGCAGACTGTTCTGTACCTTTCCTTTTCTTTTTTCATTATATTTTGCAAATTGGCACATCAAGAGCTACCCTGTTTTTTTAAGGGCTGCATAGTATTCCTTTGTGTGGATTCTTCTGTTCAGCATGTTTTTATTGAATGCCAACCGATAAATAGTGCCAAACACTTTCCTAAGAGCTTAGGACACAGCAGGGGGCAAAATGAGCCAAGTCCTTATTCTTACCAAACCAACGTTTTACCGGGAAAATTGATCATAAATATAGAACATAAAACCAGGTAGTTATAAATGCAATGTAGAAAAACACAGCACTACAAGGGTGTGAGTGAGGGGCATTGGCAATTTAGGTAGAATGGTCCAAGGGGTGAGAGACAGGTGGAGGCCCAAATGCAACCTGGGAATGAGCTGCGTGCAGGTCCCAGGAAGAGTGTTCCCAGCAGAGGGAACTGCAAGGGCAAATGCCCAGAGGCTGGGACCTGCCTGCCATATTATAGGAATAGCAGAGTAAGCATCAGAGAGAGATTAGGGGTTCTAGAGGATGCCAGATCATGCAGGGCAATGTAAGGGTTTTACTGTGAGTGAAACAGGAGATACCAGAAGGTTTTAAGCAGAGGAGACACATGATCTGATTTGAATTTTTTTTTTTTTTTTTTTTTGAGACAGAGTCTCACTGTGTTGCCCGGGCTAGAGTGCTGTGGCGTCATCTAGCTCACAGCAACCCCAAACTCCTGGGCTCCAGTGATCCTTCTGCCTCAGCCTCCCAAGTAGCTGGGACTACAGGCATGTGCCACCATGCCCGGCTAATTTTTTCTATGTATTTTTAGTTGTCCGATTAATTTCTTTGTATTTTTAGTAGAGACGGGGTCTCGCTCTTGCTCAGGCTGGTTTCGAACTCCTGAGCTCAAACAATCCGCCCGCCTCGGCCTCCCAGAGTGCTAGGATTACAGGCGTGAGCCACCGTGCCCGGTCCTGATTTGATTTTTAAAATCACCGTGGCTATTCATGACTTTTCATCCCTACTACCCATGTTGCTAAAGAGCTTCCCCTGTATATCTCAGTGTGCTTTGGGGGGCATATCTGTTGAATGAATTCTTGGGAGTACAACTTCTCACTATATGCGTTTGCCAAATTTTCTCCCCCAAAAAGTTTAATCTTTTCTGATCTTCGGTTTCCCGGTAAATTAAAGGTTACAATAATAAATCCCACTTCACAGTGTTTTGGGATCATCAAATAAAATACTGGATTTGAATTGGATATAAACTAAGGAACTGTACACATGGTAGTTATGAGTTAACTGGATTGGCTAGGAAGTAGCCTCCTTGGAGGGCCTTTATGGCCAAGGTGTCCTGGGGTCTTGCCTTTTTTATTTTCCTGTGGCTTCCTCGGTCAGTCTGATTTTGGAGATAAAAGATTTCCTCCCTTTGTTTACATCGTTGATTTTACTGGGTACAACAGCTTTTAGGGTTGTTTTTCTGGAGTGAGGTGGGGGTGGGGACTTGGGTTTCGGGTATAGGTTTAGGGCCTTCCCTTGATGGTGGTGGATGTCTTCTCATTCTTTAATTAGTCATCTTCTGGCAGACTAAGAAGTGGAAATTTTTAAAGTGGTTGCCAGATTGTGACTCTAGGCTGTAGCCTGGAGGTTAAACATTGAGAAGCCAGCTTGCTGGCTTTGTTTTCAGGAATTGGAGCCCAGCAGAACAAAGTGGCCCCACAGGGAAGTGTTCCTAGGGCTTCTGAGAGGAAGTTTTGACAGCCTCTCTGGAAAGTGACTTGTGAGTTGTAGAGGCCAAACTGTTTAGTCCCATCTTTTTTTTTTTTTTTGAGACAGGCTAGAGTACAGTGGCATCATCATAGCTCACTGCAACCTCAAACTGCTAGGCTCAAGCAATGGATCCTCCTGCTTCGACCTCCCAGAGTGCTAGGATTATAGGCATGAGCCACCACGCCCAGCCCTGTTACACCATCTTGGTGTACTGCACAGAAGCTGATTTCCTAGGACGGCACCACCCAGTAGTACTTTCTCTGTGGACAGAAGTGGCCTAGAATCTGCACTGTCCAGTGGAGCGGTCCTTGGCCCTATGGGGCTGTTGAACACTTGAAATAGCTAGTGTGACTAAGGAGTGGAATTTTAAATTTTATTTCATTTTAATTAAAATTGAAATAACCACATGTGACTAGTGGCCACACATTGCATGGTGCAGCCCTAGGCTGTTGCGCCTTCTGCCCAACCTGGCATTGAGCTCCCCTCCCTCTTTGCTCCAGGGATCTGCAGCCTTACTCAGTCCTCAGACCAGTTACCTCATCCCCAAATCCAGGAAGTCTTTTCTGTTGTCTCTGACGTCTTCCACACTTGCTGGGGCGTGTTGTAGCATAAACAAAAGGTGCTGTCTTTCTCATTCTCCAGTCTTTTCAGATGCTCTTTCTCCCCCAGCTGGCTGGAGACTTCATGGAGTCTTGGGTCTTCCTTTTGTCCTCTATGTCACCTCTATGGGTTGCACCCCTTAAATACTTATTGCTGACTAATTCATTGATTTGCCCTTTTTAACCAATTTCTCCCTTGCTTCCCAGGTGCACTGAAGAAGAGTCTTACAGCTGAGCAGGTCCAGGCTGACTTTATAACTCTGGGTAGGTCATTGCCCAAGGTTGCCCAAGGTGACTGGTCTTTATGGCTTTTTATTATGTTAATGTCTCCTTCTGTTCTTTTACAGGTCTTAGTGAGGAAAAAGCCACGTACTTTTCTGAAAAGGTATAATTCTTCTTAATCAAGGTTAATTAAGATCCCTTGCTTTTATTTTGTGAAGTGAAAAAAATGGGAAATGCCGACTAAGGCAAAACCATCCATCATAGGCGTCATTTCCCCAGCTTAAGGTTTTTCTTTTGCTTCGTATGAATGACATACATAGAGCGTTTAACCAGCACTATTCAGTGTATCGCTAATGTTTTCCTCCGATTTAACTGGAATATAAAAATCATACAGTTTTTGTTCCAGCATAGATTAAATCTTGGAATGAAAGAAAACATTTATATTGTCATCTGCTGCTCCATACTCTCCCTGTCCCTAGATGTGTGCATGTGGGCTGAGCCCTTGGTTCTGCATTCTTCCCACTGACTGTATAAACACTAACCATAGTTATGTTTGGGGCAGAACGAACGGGGTGGGGGAGAATTTTCCCATTGTTATGACTTTGCCTTTTGCTTTTGTTCCAGTGGAAACAGAATGCCCCCACCCTTGCCCGATGGGCCATAGGTCAGACTCTGATGATTAACCAGCTCATAGATATGGAGTGGAAATTTGGAGGTAACTAGGTAGAGCCGGTCCCAGGTCCTTTGGGTGATGTGGCTTGGGTTGCAGAGGCTTTTACCCTGTCTAGCCTCGCTGGGGAGGACGTGTTCACAGTCCTTAGGCACTACTGGGCCAGCAGCTGCCCTCCTGGTTGTTGTCCACGTTCAGCAGCTGTTTCCAGCCGTGGCTCACTAGGTTGACTTCCTGAAGAGCACACCGTGCTGCACTCATACTCACCCCCACACGGCTTCTGCTGGACACCCTGCAAAATTGGGGTCTTCAGGGTAAGTCCTCAACCAGCCACTTGTTATTTTTCTCTTTTGTGTCACAGTGACATCTGGGAGCAGCGAATTGGAGAAAGTGGGAAGTATATTTTTACAAGTAAGTCTTCTGATCCTTGAGAATGGGTAGATTTTTAACTTGGTTAAAAATGACTAAATTGACATTGGGTTTCTTTAACTATCCATTTAAATGGATGTTTTCATGAAGTGCCTTGGGTGTTAGAACCGGTTCCCCTCGGCCCCAGGAACAGAGAGACAGAGTCACCGAGGCTGCAAATGGCAAAGGAGTTTATTGGCTAGCTCGAGCTAGGGTCCAAGTCCCAGAGCACCAACACAGTGGCCTCCCCTATGAACCAGGACCCCGCCCTGGGGTAAAAGTGAAGCTTTTATACTTCCTTTTGCACACAACACACCGGTGGCAGACGACAGGCAGGTTCCACACGACACGCTGGGCATACCATCCCCCCTCCCCCCTTAGTCCATTGGTTCCTTTGAAAGTGGCGGATTGTTTTGACTCCCGATTGGTTGGCTCCAAGCCTTGGGATTTTCAATTTTCGCTCCGGCGCCAGTTTTGGTCCGTGTTTCGGTTTCGGGGAAACTGAAACTTAGGCCTACTCTAGGAAGTTCAGCCTGTCATGGAACCACTCCTGCCCTGTTTTTCATTCTGATTAGCTATATTTGACTAACAACTAAAAGCAAGCGCGGTTACAGAAGCAAATGGCATTAGTTAGAATCAAAGGGAACACATTTTTCTAATCTAAAACAGTTTCTGTTCCACACAAAACAAAGTACATTCTCGTACTGTCAATTCCTGCCTTTCATGGGTATCTCAGAGCAATGTGGTCAGCCAAAGGCATGGTCACTGACATGCCTACTTTCAGATTAATAGATTCTAATATTATTCATTAAAGTTTGATTGTTCCTGTAATCATGGAAATTATCAGAATTTTTGGTGGCGGATGATCCAGATCGCTCCTGTGTAACTCTCAAGTTAGATGCTGAATGCTTTGACATTTAATCAGGTGGAAAAGTTTTAAGAATTTCTTTGCCCAAGTGTCATCATTTTAATTTGAATTTTTTATTTCTTTTTCTTTTTAATCAGTTAAAGTTGGTGGTTAAGAAAGGAAATCAAACTGAAAATTTGTACATAGGTGAGTCCGAATTCCCATTTAAGCCTTTTCACTTTTTCCATGGTCTCTTCAGTCAGTGGGCTCGTGAAGCTCACCACAAATCATCTCCGCCCGAGAAACAGTCATAAGCAAGCCGTGGAGTAGCCATTCCACTGCCTTTCCTCTAGTAACAGATGGTACGAGGAACATTATTAATAAGCCATTGGCAGGTTGGGGACTCCACAGTTGAGCCTTATTGCAAAGGGGAAGGGGGAAGGAATGGCTGGGATTGAAGAAAAAGAAGATTGAAGAGCAAGCAGCTCTTGCTGTAGAAGTCACATTGAACACCCTGAATGATGCGCTTTCTTCTCTTGGTGCTGTGGAGTTATGCCATTTTAACACCACCCCCGTGTTTTCTTCCTATGGAGCCGAGAGCCTTCTGTGTTCAAAGGCTCTCAATTCTTGATTCAGATCGATTACCCGTGAAGAGCTGCTTAGATGTACTCAGCCAAAAAGAAAAAAAAAAATCTCTGGGTTGAAATTAATTTTCTTGGATGATTCTGTGGAGTTGGAAACATTTCCCTGAAGCTGAATTTTCTCTCCCCAGAATTAACCTTGCCTCAGTTCTACAGCTTCCTGCACGAGATGGAGCGAGTCAGAACCAGCATGGAGTGTTTCAGCTGATTTCTGTCCCCTGCATCTCCCCCAGACCCTCTTCCCCACCCTCCTCCCTTCCCTGGGTGACTGCTCCTAGAGGCACCTCACTCACAGGCCTCCGGAGCCCAGGTACAAAGGGTTTCTGAAAAACAATAGGATTAAATATTTAAAGGGCCCTACACAATTAGCCTATAAACTCTTCATTAAGTCAACCACTGCCACCTACCTGTCTTCTAGGACATGTTTTAGATATTCTGACAGGCTATTGCATCCCAGATTCAAGGAGAAAATAAGTTGTCACCTCCCCATCAAAGTTCCAGAGTAAACAAATGGCGCCATCACTCAAGATAACCCGCTGATCACCCTCCCCTCTAAAAATCAAGAGCTTGTTTATGGCTGAGGATTAGGCGGTTGTATGAATGACAAGGATTCGTGCCTGTGGTGCACTGCCAATCAGTTTGTCATGAGGCACCTGTGTGTAAATACATGCTTGGTTTTCTCTGAAAAGAACTGAGGCCAAACTCTGTCCCCACTTCTGGTTTTGCCCTGATGTGTTGTAATGATGCGGGCCTTTTGAGGCGGTTTTAGTTTGTTTGGGTTCAAGCTGACCAGCTCTGTTGGTTAGATGATGAATAAAGAAGATTCTGAAGAAAAGGTCTGAATCCAGTTGTCTTTCTGGATTAAAGAGTCATGTGCCTTGCAGAGAGCTAGTACACTTCTCTTCAAAAATTGTCTTCCTGGTTTTGGTGAAGGCCCTGGGTCTCCAGTGTCGTTAGCTGTGGTCCAAAGTTGGAATTTGTAAGAGCAGTTCAGGGCAAACTCAGGTTAAAAGAATCAGGAAAAAGTATCACATATGAATACTTTGTGTTTAGATGACTTTAGTCCCCAGCCCAGCATGTGGCTTTTCCTCCTCCTCCTCCACTCCTCAGAAGTTTTATAAAGTTTTGAAAAGCTAATACATGCCCAGGATTCAAAAGATACAGTGGAAAGTAATTCCCCTCTGGCCCCTATCGCCCAGTTACCTAGTTCTTCCCAGAGGCAACTGTGTTATGTTATGAGTTTATTCTGTGTTCTGGAGATATTTCCTGCATTTGCAAATATATATATGCATATGGTTTGACTTTTCTTCCCACACAAATGGAAGCATACTGTACACACCATCCCGTACCTTGCTTCTTCCCGCTTAACTAATACGGAAATCCTTCCACACCATAACACAGAGAGCTGCCTCATTCTTGGTAACAAATGCGCTGCATTTCTTCAGATGGATGATTTCTTCAACTGATTTCCCGCTGACGGGGTTTAAGTTGCTTCCATTCTTTTTCTCCTATAAAGTGTGCTACAACTGAATATCCTTGTATACCCGTCATTTTTGCATATATGGAAGTGTATTTATAAGGTAAATAGATGGATATGGAATTGCTGGGTCATAGAGGATATGCATTTACCAAAGTGTATAAAGCAGAAAGGTCCCTTCTACCCTGTCTCCCATTTACAGTTTCCCTCCTCTGTTACTAGTTTCTTAGGTATCCTTCCAGAGGGTTTTGCCCACACATGTGAACAACAGGAATTTTTATTTTATTTTTTACCCTTTTTTTGTTTATGCAGTTGATTGTACACTATACACACTTTTCTTAATATATATCAGAGACCTTTCCATATCAGTACATAAAGAGCCTGCATCCTTCTGTAATATGAGCTGCAAAATGCAGCATATTGTGGTGTGTGGATGGATCATTTGCAATTTTAATAAATGGTGCCAGTGTTAATCAGGGTTCTCCAGAGAACAGAAGCAACAGGATGTGTACATCTATAGGTATATATGTATGTGTATATATAGAGAGATTTATTTTTTTTTATTTTAAAGGATTGTCTCACACAGTTGTAGAGGCTTGGTTAGTCTGCCGGGTGGCAGCTGGAGACCCAGGGAAGAGTTGCAGTTCGAAGGCCTGTCTGCTGGCAGAACTTCTTGGGGTGGGGGATAGGGAAGAGGAAGAGGTAGGGTGTCAGGCTTGTTCTGTTAAGGTCTTTAACTGATTGGATGTGACCCACCCACATCATGAAGGGGTATCCGCTGTATAGGAGGTCTCCCCCTATTCATGGTTTCACTTTTCATGGGTTCAGTTACCCACAGTCTGAAAATACTAAACAGAAAATTCCAGGAGTCATAAGTCACGCAGCCTTCTGAGTAATGTGGTGAAATCTCACGCTGTCCCACTCCATCCTGGAACGTGAGTCATTCCTTTGACCAGCGTGTCCTCGCTGTATACACTATCCACCCGTTAGTCACTCAGTAGCCAGCTCTGTTACCACACTGAATAAACATAGTATGTGTAGGGTCTGGTACTATCTGTGGTCTCAGACATCCACTAAGGGTCTTGAAAAGTATCCCCATCAATAAGGGGGTGCTACTGTACTCTAAAGTCTACTGATTTAAGCGTTAGTCTCATCCAAAAACACCTTCACAGAAGCATCCAGAATAATATTTGATCAACTATCTGACCTCTGTGGTCCAGCCAAGTTAACACAGAACTAACCATCACAGTGCCAAATTGACCTCTGCAAAGATTGTTTGAACTTATGCTTTCACCAGCAAGATTACTGTCCAAATGTGCCAAAGAAGACTGATTCAGTGCTTTTGGATAGTATCCAGATGTGTTCCGTGAGGTTTCTGAGAGCCTCATGTGCCTAAGACCATGAGATCTAATGTAAAAGGAACTCATACCACAAAAAAATAATAAAATAAAAAATAATTTAAAAAAAGAATTCACAGAATGTCAGAACAGAAAGGAGTACGTAAATACAATCTAGGCCGGGCATAGTGGCTGACGCCTGTAATCCTAGCACTCTGGGAGGCCAAGGTGGGAGAATTGCTTGAGCTCAGGAGTTCAAGACCAGCCTGAGCAAGAGCGAGACCCTGTCTCTACTAAAAATAGAAAAAATTAGCCGGGCGGGGTGGTGTGCACCTGTAGTCCCAGCTACTTAGGAGGCTGAAGCAGGAGGATCGCTTGAGCCCAGGAGTTTGAGGTTGCTGTGAGCTAAGTTGACTGATGCCACGGCACTCTAGCCTGGGCAACAGAGTGAGACTCTTTCTCAAATAAATAAATAAATAAATATAAATAAAAATAAATACAATCTAATTAAACATACTCATATTACAAATGGGGAAACTGAGGCCTGGAGACTGAAACTAGTCACTGGCTAGTGGTTAGACAGTGCTGTCCTATGATCCATGGGGCTCTGCGTGATTCAGAAATGAACTCCTGAGAGCCTTGGGGGGATCCAGCATGCCAAACCACCTGGTGCTGGTCCCTGTCAGGTGCTCTGAGAGCTGCACCCAGCTGGCCACTGGGCAGATTCTGGCCAGGGAGCTCCTTGTCCTGCCCAGTTCAGGCTCTGCTGCCCCACCTGTGTCATAACAGGGGCTCCCCAATGGCCCCACCCAAGACTTCAGCCTCACAGCTTTGACAATCCAACCTGTTCCCTCCATGAGCATTCTTATGTGCAGGTCTCATGTCAGCCAACAGATCCACATGCTCATGGCTCTGTGGTATCCAGGGTGAAGCCCAAACTCCTTAGCACACCAGACCCCAATAGTCTGGCCCTGCCTACCCCTTCTAGCACTCTGTTTCCACTTCCTCCTGGCCGCTTCCTGTGCTGGAATGTCTAGACTTTCAGACTGCTTGCAGCCACCAAGCCAGGATGCCATCTGTCTCTCCTCCCCTTGGGTGTATGATGCTTCCCCATGCTTCTGGGGGCCTCCCCTGACAGTTCTGGGCCATAGGAAACACTCGTTGGGCCTTCATTCCTCTGCTTCAGGGGCCAGGAGTGCAGACTCTGGGGTTGAACTGCTTGAGTTTCAATGATGGCCCTTCTGCTTATTAACTGTGTGAGCTTGGACAAACTCCTTAACTTCTCAGAACCTTAGCTTCTCCATTTGTAAAATGGGTATAAGTCTCACATCACAGGGTAATTGGGTAGATCACTTAGCAAAATGCCTGCTCCACTAACTGGTGAACTACTCATTATCAAATAATTATAATTGTTCCAGGGTCCTCTTCCCCACTATCCTGTGAGCTTCTTGGGAAGAGTCTTATTTTTCAGCTCAATAACCCCAACACTTAGCATCATTCGGCTCCACTCCTCCTCCTCCCCACCAGGCCTTGCCACAGGTCCCATCCTTTGTTGAAATGAGATGGAGCATAGAGCCTCCTTGGCAGGACTGTTAACTAATCTGCCTGGCTTTCAAAGACTAAATCGGGGAAGTTGTTTTGATTGTTGGTCAGTTTTAACATTGATCACAGGTGGGTCTGCAGTGTAAGGGGCAAGGCTGGGTGCCCATCTCCCACGGGCCATCTTCCAAGAGCAGTGGCACCCCTGGCTCCCTGAGGCCACAAACATTCTTGGAGCGCCTCCTACGGGTGAGAGCTCTGCAGGGCCCCGTGAGAGTAGGGGATAAGCTGTGTCCACAGATAACTGACAATTTGTCTTTTCCATGCGGGAGTAGATTATAGCCTCTCCCATTTGCCGTAGTTCAGAGCCCATTATGAACTCCTCAACCACTCCAGTGCCTGTGCTGTATTGGAATTTTGTCACAAATATAATCTATTGAATAAGGGGCATTGATCAGGGCATGCAGACCGTTAGGCTGGGATTTGCCGCAATGCTGGGGGATTTGAGCGGGGTCTCTCTTACCGTTAGCACGTCGTCTTCAAATCGATTCACTCTTGTTCCTATTCTGCTCAGAAATCTGCCATCTGGTAACCTAGCCTTTGGCTACAGGTTACTCTTATTTTCCTTTGGAGTATAGTGTTCATTAAGATGGTAATGGTCAGGCCAAGAGAGGAGGAACCAGAAATACCTGTATTCTTTCCCTGGAGGGCAGTGGACTGTCTGGCTGTGGTGGGGGAGGCAGTGAGGAGGAGGGAGAGAGGGAGGTTTCACTGGTCAGTTCTGACATTAGTATTTCTTTTTACTCCGGCGACTTTAAAAGGAAGCTGGTGGTGACAAAGAAAACCCTCAAATAGCCCAAGCGGTCAGCTGCTCCCCAGTGGGACCAGCTGCCTCACACGTGAGCGTTTGCTAGAGCAGAGAAGTGGCCTTTCCAAACAGCAGAAAACCCAACAACAGAGTTGTTGCTCTGAAAGGGTATTTTTTTGAAGGGTATTTGTTCTGGGATTTAGTCTGGGATTTTCTCTCTCTCTCTCTTTTTTTTTACATTTGTCACATTTCACCAAAGTATTTCAGAATTTCTGTGAAAAGCGCTACAGATAATGTCTAATGATACTTCATATTTGGACAGCATGATTGTTTTCTTGAGGGGATCAAGTTTATAAAAGCATAATTTACACATAGTAAAATTCACCCATTTTTAGTGTACGGTTCAGTGAGTTTTGATAAATGTCTGCAGTCATGAAGTCACCACTACAATCAAGGTGTAGACTATTTTCATCACCCCAGAAGGTTCTTTCCCTTCTGTGGTTATAGTCAGCTCCTCCCCCAGCCCCAGTCCTGGCAGCCACTGACCTGATTTCTGTCCCCACTGTTTGGCCTTTCCAGAATGTCATATAAATCATTCTGTTTATACCCTTTTGTGCCTAGCTCTTCCACTTAGCATAATGTTTTTCAGATTCATCTATGTTACCAATGCGTCTGTAGTT